CTTCAGTAACCTCTAAACCATTACATCTAATTCAATCAATGTTCATAAGAAGTATGTTAGTATCCATTCCCAATGAAGAGTACCAGACACTTATATCTGTAAAAACATCATAATCACCTTTCTCGCCGACATGTGTTCATTTACAAACGCTGTATAAGCCTATGATAATGATTAGCAATTGCTATCAAAACGCTTTAAATACTTCTTATTGACACTAAAGGTAGCATCTGTCGTCAGGAAAGCTAATATTGCTCAGTACTACTAAATTGGTTGAAATAATTGGTACAGTGAGATTGTAAAAAGTACGACACACATGTGCGTCTCTCGCTGAATAAGAGGTTCTTTCTATTGGCGAATATATGTGGCTGTCGCTGTGAGAAACTGCCAATTTCCTGCCCCATAAACGCGTCAATCGAGGTGAGGAGCTGATTAATTTGCCCCATATATATTTGGCTCTCGGCCTTAATGAGTTATGCTGTAATGCAAACATTAGAACAATTTGCACGCTTTTCTTGACTGAAGGTAAATGCTGATAAAACTAGGATTTTCTGGTTGGCATCAAAGGAACATTCCAGAATGAAATTATGCCCCGAGTGGAAATTAAATTTGGATCAAGATTCCTTCACACTGTTGGGTATTTATTAATTTTAGTTTAGAAATGAATGGTATGATCATGCCAAATGCCAAACCTTGATAATTTTTTGGTCCTCCAGACACCAACACCATGGACCAAACTTATTGATAGGAATTTACCAAAAAAATGGTTCAATAAAGATTTTAGAACTTAATCGTAATCATTTGAAAAAAAGAAATTATTTCAAACTTTAGAAATCCGTTTTATGTAGACTTGGTCTCATCCTGGTTGATTTTATAGAACAAATCAAACCACAAGCTGATTCAGATCTTCTCAGCCAAACAATCTGGCATAACTGTAATATCATGATTAATCTTCTACTCAGACTTGAACTCGAAAGGAATCCACATTATAAATGATCTTTTGGATGAAAACGGGTGTTTTCTAAATTTCATCGAATTTAAGAACAAATACGATAAATTAAAACTTCATTCTTTATTATGGTTTAATTCAAACGACAAAACCATATATCAAGTGATTTGGAAATTTAGAAATGAAAAATAAGGTTGAATTATCAATCTTCCCTCTAAATCTAATACATCTTTGCCAGACAACAAAGGGACTTATTGGGAAACACTGTATCAAAAACCAACATATTAATAAGTGGGAACATGAGTTGCAATGTAACATCCCTATCAAAACATGGACAAAATATAACATGATACCTTTTCTGTGCACCACCCATTCAAACATTCAGTGGTTCCAGTACAAATTCCTACACCATATCCTACCAACTAATATCCGTTTACAAAGAATGGGCTGTACTAAATCAGATAGATGTGACTTTTGTTCCTACAAGGCAGACACATTGCAGCATTTATTTTGGGAATGTGATCTTGTACGGGCACTGTGGACCAAACTGGAAGGTTGGCTAAAACAAAACGCTCAAATAGTTGAGTTGAGTTGGGCTTTATGTCACATCAGCATTATTCCAGCCATATATATCATTTTAATAAAGAAAGGATTCTCATCGGTTTTCTAGAGAGTAACAATGACCCACTAAACATAATCATCTTGATTTTCAAAAAGACTATATTTGAGCATAAACAGGAACGATTTCCAACTTTCCAAACATTGATATACAAAGTCAGGGATTAACATATTATTACTAAATGTGCTGCTGCAATGTCAAATAGAGTCGATATGTTTTAGAAATTCTGGTCTTCTTGCCAATTATTGACAATCCCCATTTCGTACAATACTGTTCTAAGATATCTATCTTTTTCTGTAGGTTCACAACGCTGTCTCCAAATATAGCGACATCATCCGCAAACAGAAGAATTGACAGTGCATTTATAGCCTTATCAATAAAAGCGCCACTATAGTCGCTGTTTATGATGTCGTTAATTAGTTCATCAATGTACATAATAAATAGGACTGGAGACAAGATACAACCTTGTCGTACTCCAGTCACTGGGTTAAATATTTCAGTCATACTGTACTTCGTACATCTAACAGCTGCTTTTGCATGAGTATACATTGAACGTAAAACAGTGCTAAGTTTACCATGTATACCATTGTTGAGAAGTATATATAGGAGCTTGTTTCTGTGAAGGGTATCGAAAGCTTTTTTAAAATAAACAAAAATACAGTAACATTTTTCACGTTTTTTCCTTATGTACTTGTGGATAATCGAATTTAGAACAAATATTTGGTCAATAGTACTGTAGTCTTCTCTAAACCCTGCTTGCGACTCAGAAATGATATCCTGTGTTGAAGCCCAAAGTTTTATAAGTGTATCTAGAATACTTTGCTAAATATATCAAGTAGAGCTATACCCCTGTAGTTATTGGGATCCTCTCTATCCCCAGCTTTATATAACGGAACGATAAGACCAAGGTTCGAAGAATCTGGAATCTGTTGAAAATCTCTTTGAAAAGACGTTTATAAAAAGGTAATAATATCAAACAAGTTTCCTTAATGGCCTCCGTCGGAATACCATCAGCCCCGGGAGATTTACCATTTTTCAGATTCTAAACTGCATTCAAGATTTCATCATTTGAGATCTCGTCATCCAAGATATCGTCACAGTCTCTACATTGTTCACAATTAACAACATCATGGTTTTCAAGAAATGTTCGTACATGTATATCAAACTGTTTGCAATCTGTTTGAGGGTCAAAATCTATACGATCACCTACCAAAGCCCTGTACATCATGGGCGATTTGAACGGATACAACCCTCTATGGGGAAGTACATGTGTAAACGATAAAGGCAAGATTATTGAAGATTTTATTTCTGTGACTGAGTGAGTAAGTGAGTCATAAATGATAAATTAAGCACCTCTTTATATCTTGGTACAGGAACCTACTCTACACTTGATCCTGTCCCTCGCTGATTCAACGAATTTGAATGGTCCGTTCACGATGACCTTTTTGGGAGTTATCCCTTCCCAACTGTCCTAAAATCAACCTCACCGGATGATGATTGGTCTTTATGCGAAACATTATGTAATGAAAAATAAATACCTGAAATTTTTAAACTGTATCAGCTCCTTCAGAGTTGTTTTAAGCTCAGTTTCCAGGCAGAAAATGTAGAAAGAGTTGAGTTGAGTTGGGCTTTACGTCACATCGGCATTTTTCCAGCCATATAGTGACGAGAACAAGTTTGCATTAGTAAACATTGTAAGTACATACTCGGAATGAGTTTTATTTCAAAGACATATATTGATTACAATTCGCCGAAATCCTACAGCTCATAACTTGAACAATGTTAAGATTACTGGTGCCAAGGCACGACGTGCCTACAAACAAAACAAACGCCTATCTTGGAGAAACTATCTTTCCAAAATAATTTCTCGCAAGGCCATGTCTAAGGTATGGAACATGGTACTGCGACTAAGAGGCCAAGGTTCAAAATCTTCTGTTCACTTTCTTAAAGATAGTGATAACTTACTAAGTGCCAAAACTAAAACTCTTGCCAAACATCCATTCATGGCGTAATGCCAATGTAGTCCCCATTCCAAAACTTGAACGGGATCAAACATATCCATCGAATTACAGACCCATATCTCTAACCGGCTGTGTCTGTAAGACCATGGGAAGAATGGCAAATAATAAATTAATTTTGGATCTTGAAATTAATAACCTTATAACAAATGTTCAATGTGGTTTCAGAAAAATAGAAGTACCATCGATCATTTGGTAGGATTAGAATCCTTTGCTAAAAAAAGCTATTTTAACTAAACAATATGCATAAACGATATTCTTTGTTCTCGAGAAAGCATACCGTACCAGCTGGAAGCATGGCATTGTAAGAGATTTACATGACTTCGGTTTGAGGCGTCGTTTACCTCGTTTTTCTTCGACAGTGATGACATTGGTGAGGGGATGATGGATGAACTATTGACAACATGACAGGTTGAATTTTGTACGCTTGAATGAATTGCTAAAATCTACCACGACCTGGCTATAACGGACTGATAATCTATAAATCTTAATAGAGGGAACTGATATGAATGTCCAAGGAAACTGTCACTGTTGTTAAAAAATATATCGCATTTTGCAATTTATAAGAAAACTATACAAGTCAACTGAAAACAACACTCAATTATGTTCATTATGACCCAGTGGCAAAATTATATTTGAAACTAAGCAGTATTTAAAAAGTTGGGGATTAATGAGTTAAATTAATCAATGAAAAAGTAAATACAATATATACTAATTTATAGATGGATCCAAAGATGGTGGGACAGTGGCTTGTGCTACTGTCATTGGACCCAGTTCAATATCTTCAAGAATAACAGATAACAGCTCTATTTTGACAGCAGAAGCTGACGCCATATAAACAGCTCTTACATATATTAAAAACCATCCTAAACATAAACAATATATGTAATCTTTTCTGAGTCTTCCGTGCCTTCAGGCTAATAAAAACGTATCTGGTAAACATCGACTTTTAATTGAATTTTTTAAATTATATAATATCCTTGCAACTTGTCAATACGACATCGTCCTCTGTTGGTTACCCAGTATGCTGGAATCTCTGGAAACACAATGGCCGATTTGCTGCTAGAGCAGCATTCAACAAATCTGTGACACCACTTTTCATTCCGTACTCCGATTACAAAGCCGTTATTAGATCACACATCCGTGATCTACCCAAGTAGGTGTCAATAAATACAGACACAGACAGTCATCAGGTCATAAATCATGTTCAGCATAAACATGTTCAAATACTTGAAATGTTATTGTTTTTTGGTAGATTACAATTACTATTTCTATTTATAGTCCATAAGAACTATGGCAATGTGCTGTTTGATTGGCATTTACTTTCTTATGGCAATGTAGTACGAAACAGGAAAAGTGTAATATTCTTCAGAAGTAAAGGACAGAAATGTATCATAAAAATAATTAAACTCGATACCTTCCATCCTTTATTCAACACGAGGTCGATCCCTGCAGTTCCATATTTGCTCCTAGTGTCAGATGGATATGTCCCTTTACCGCAGCTGGAATCTGAAGGACGTCTTTGGCTAGGAAATGAAGGATGAAACTTCGATCCAAATAGTGACTGTATGGTAGACTTGATCTCTTCTGTACTGGAAGTTTTAAGGGGAAAGATACGATATAATTAGTGACTATGTACTTAGCTTTTCTGGTACACATTAACACAAGACTATAAAAATTACATACATGTAGACAGACTACTACATATCACAAATTCATTAGGTAATGTTTAGGCCTATTGAAGTGTGCTATCATTAGGTAGGAAATTGGGCGCCTGAGATGAAATATGTTTTTAAACAAATTTTGGCATTTGTGAAGAGCAACCTCCTCGTGGGGAGTGCTGGGTAACGCTAATAGCTCTTCCTCGTGTTAACCCGGGATAGAATGTGTCCAGAGCACCCAATTGCTGGTCGTAAGAGGCGAGCGAATGGGGTAACCTATTTGCCGTGGGTTGTGCCCGTGTCAGTGGAAAAAGGGATTCTGGAGGTCAAGGACACTGGTTCCAGGAACAGCGTTCCTTTGCCCAACACAACAGTTTGACCCTGACTTCATCTAGACGGGTGGTGGAATGGGGCCTGTTCTATTAATCGGCTGACCATGCTAAGCCCTTAACGAGTATATTCTGCTACACAATTTTTACAAACTATTTACATTTTTGTCAGTTGTCTTAGCTACATGATAATATATTTGCATTTCGATTGGATAACTCCAATTTAGTAATTTGCCCAGAGTCCTGTGTCTAGAAGGGAGTGGCTCATGGGCCAATCCGGTGGTATATACCTATTTTTATTATTCTGCTTGGGTATATCATCCGGGTACCCTTGGTCCTGCAAGTTGGAAATCCACTTGCGATCAGCATTGACTTTATAATATTTCATGGTGGGTGGGTACTCAGATAACGAATCAAAATATACACAGCATGGATTACCAAATTAAAAACCCGAAACGTCCACTCGACAATGATGACGAGAAACAACCCTCATAATCCATTGATTACTGGCCATGTTTACTGATTGTTGATACTCTTAAGAACTTAAGACTCTATTGAAGCTAAAATATTTGCAATATCAAAATGTGTCCACGCCATAGCTGGAGAAATTCAGGATCTCTGTTGCACCAATGTAATAGAAAACACCAAGCAACCACGCTGCTATCAACAGACATTTTGTTGCGGTTATGGTCTCTCCATACAGAAGAATGAATACCAGTAAAGGTAAATAGTACGAGACCGAGATCTGTTTGCAGATATGACGGAAATTGAAATTGTATCTGAGATGAAGAATCAAGGAATCACACATGTGAAAATATTTACAACCAGGAATATAATGAAACTGTGCAAACTAAAACGTATCTCTTTTCTTTTTCTGCGCCGAAATCTCCTACATCAGTCAAGACAGGTTACTGCAATGTAAATGTTGCCATGTACATGCCCAATCCTCTGCAGTGTTTCAAATGTCAGAAATACGGACATTGTCTGTTACATGTGCCCATTGTGGAGAAAAATAAACACAGAAGACTGTGACGGTCGTTTCCAAAAGTGCACCGACTGCCGCGGAAGTCATTCATCCTTTTCTAGGGACTATTCTATTGGGGGAAAAACAGATGAAGATCAACAGAATTGAATTCACCAGAAATGTAAGTTTTGCAGAAGCCTAAAATTTTGTACAGGTAATTGACTGCGCAGAAGCCTATGCCTCCATCGCCAGGACACCATCTGAAACCACCACAAAAGGAAATACTGTAACTACCTCGCACATTTCAGCCAAACAGACTTGACATGGGAAAGTACGGACTGTCATAAACATTTCTTTCATGAGCAATCCACTCAGACAGCGAATTCACTTTCTGATCAACAGAAACTCTCTTAGCAGCAATAATCTCCTGTTCCAAAACCTCAATGTCAACCTGAAAGAAATGAGCACACAACTTGAGCCACAAAAGGTCAGATAGAATATATGTTTCTGACAAGTTTGTCACTGGAGGACATGGATGTCTCTGATAACGACCATCCTAAGACACATAGCTTGTTGCCCTCAAAGAAAGTGTGGGGTAGATCCCTAGTCAACCCACGAAGAAGCTAGTCTATTCCACACTTATAGTACAGTGGAATTGAAGATGATTGAGGAACAATTTTAATGGGTTACAGCTATTAGTCCAATATGTTGCGACATCAGCCTTCTGTCTGCAGGAAACCTATCTGAAGAAGACAGATACTTTTTTTACTCTACGTCAGTTCGATGCATTTATATTTTTTCTCCTGCGGGTGGCAGGGCCCCTTGAGGATATTCAATCCTTCTTCAGCAGGATGTTATCCATAGTCCTGTAACACTAACCCCTAAGCTGTTGCAGTGAGACACACTCTTGCAGACTCTAACCTCCTCTATGAATTTGGTTGGTCGGTCCACAATACCATCTGTGGAACTGACCACTTTCCAACGATACAATCAGAAATATTGTATCCATATTGAACATGGTTCAGAGAATAAATAGTAAAGGTTCAAAATCTGCTGTTCTGCTGATAACCTACTGAGTGACAAAACGAAAATTGCAAATAGAAATGGCGAAACTCTTGCCAAAAATCATCATCGTCAAATTATGTCCTTGAGTTTCAGAGATTTTCAGAGGGCATTTAGAAGTTGGGGTAATAAGGGAGGGTAACAATATATGGATGAACAACCAACCCCTAAAATCAACCTCAAAGACTTCCGTGGTGTAGTGGTTAGAGCGTCCGCTCGGGTCACGGGTTCGATCCCCAACCGCGTCATGCCAAAAGACGTTAAAATATGGTACTTGTTGGTCTCTGTCTGGCGCTCGGCATCAATTGGTACAACAAGGACTGGTCGGCTCGGAGTCACTATAAAACCAGCTTCAGTCTGGGCTAGTACAAGCAGTCGCATATACATATACACACGCATGCACGTCGTCATATGAGCGAAATATTCTCAAGCACGACGTTAAACCCAAGTTCACCTCACCTCATGTCACCTCAAAGACTTTAAGTTCAGGAAGCTCAGGAAACGTCGGATGCGCCCGTGTTGGTGGAGGATGGGATTCTGGTGGTTGAGGGCAAAATGAACATGGAACCGTGCCTCTTTTTACCCAACAGACCACTTTGGCCCTGACTTCACCTGGACGGGTGGTAGAATTGGCCCGATTCAATCAATCGGCTGGTCACACCATGCCCTATGCATGGACAACATTTTAAACAATTATTGTTCATTTTTTACACTGAATGTTTGTATTTCACATTATATTATTTATTTTTGTCTAAAGTCCTATGCCAGAAGGCGGTGGTTCATCGGCTAATCTGGTGATAATGACATCCGAATGATGTTTATCACTAATTTCTTGTCTTGGGCTGAGTCGGACATGAAATAGGTAGAGAAATGCAGCTATTTGTGTCGTTTTCTCTTGAGTATAGCACCCCTGTATCCTTGGTGTCGGCATCTTGGATATCCGGTGCTATTTAACACAGTCCGTATTGATGACACTCTGTGGTGGGTAGGGAGCAAGGGTGCTGAATCCTTCCCTTTCATCATGGTACTTCCACTTTCTGGTTCATCTGGAAACCATAAAAAGAGTCGTTTAGAGGATTTAGATCTCTCTACTAGACATGTGTCTTCTAACTGTGGCTCCTGGGCTAGATTTCTTGTTATTGAGGCTTCAGACTTTCTTCCACAAAAAACTTAATCCATTTGCCATATTAAATACTATCTGCGGAACTCCGGAGAAGTTACAAATGTTACCCGTTTCAGTAATGGCTCAGTTCTTGTGGAGTGTGCACGGAGACAGCAATCTCTGAGTCTGTTGTTGATCAAGACATTTGCAAATATAGAGGTTGCTGTGTCTTTGCACAGGATGCTAAGCTCGTGGCGTCATCGGAGACAGAGCACGTTGTCTTGTCGATATGTCAGAGGAGGACATTGCTTCAGAGTTGGCAGATCAAGGTATATCAGCAGTTTAACCATTAATAAAGAGTCAATCAGCGTGACAACCAACACCTGCTTACAGACCTTTGACCGTTCCTCTCTTCCAAAGGCTTTAAAAACATGTTATTTCAACATTGGGGTGGATGTGTATGTCCCCAGCCCACTCCACTGTTATAAATGTCAACATTTCGGGCATGGATCGCAATTCTGTCGAAACTCTACAGTATGACATCGTTGTGGTGATCGACATAAGGGTTCCGACTGTGAGAGAGACTATAAGTGCTAAACTGTAATGTTGCCCATTTCGTTTCATCCAAGTCCTGTCCTTTGTATCAACGAGAATCACAATTATTGAAAATCAAATGTTTAAACAACATTTCATAGCTTGAGGCCAAAACAAATGTTGACAAATCAGACTTCAACTCCATCAAGCCTGACCTACTCTGCTGCAGTCACTCGCTCTGAAGCAGCGCCCTCGATTACAGATACACCTATTCATTTGGCTTCAGCTCTTCAGAAATCACACAATCTACGTCTGCTTCTCAAACAGAAACTCACCATGAGAAACAATCTGAAACGTCTGTTTGAAAACCATTCAAAACAGAAGAAAGGAAAGATATTAAATAGAGACAAACAACCTCCTGTCTCTTCATCTTCTGAGGTTTCAACACATTTGGACCTCTGGATATGGAGGTTACTTTGTCCTCACAGGACAGAATAATTCCTCCTAACATTCACGTGGACTCCAATTAAGCCACCATGGCTCAATTGGCTAATCTGATTCAGTGGAATTGCCGAGGACTAAAGAATAACTTCAATGAAATACAATTACTCATACAAGATCTTCAACCATCAGCATTGTGTCTACAAGAGACAGAAGAGTTTGCCCTCAATACTGATATTTTTAACTTAAGACAGTACAGTGATTATCATTCCTTTTTCCATCCAGGTGAAAAAGCTACTGGAGGCGCTTCTATTTTGGTTCATCAGCATGCCTTTTATAGCCCTGTCACTCTTAATACAAAGCTTTAAACTATTGCTGTTCGTCTGTCTCTGCACATTGCGCTGGCATTTTGCAGCTTGCATATCTTTATATTCAACAATCAGATCTTCAAAATCTGTATGATCAACTTCCGAAGCCATGTCCTATCATGGGCGATCAGGTGCCCAAACTATTACTAATGGTAAAATCCTTCGGGAATTCATTTCCGATAATAATTTATGTATTTTCAATGACGATTCAGCCACATATTTACAGCCAGCTACGGGGACATATCCTTCCCTGGATCAATCACTCGCCGATTCCAACTTATATAATAAATTTGAATGGATGGTCCATGATGACCTATGCGGGAGTGATCACTTCCCCACCATTCCCAAAACCATCAACCCTGGTGATGATCCACCTTTCTCAAGAAGGAACTTCACCAGGTCTGATTCCTGCTTGCTATTGGCTGCGCCCCTGTGTCGGTGGAGGAAGGGATTCTGGTGTTGATGGCTCGGGTTCCGGGAACAGTGGTCCTTTTCCCAATACACTACTTCAACCTTGACTTCACTTTGACGGGTATATCAATCGGCTGGTCATGCCAAGCCCTGTGCCACTATATTATGATGCACAAAGCTATATCGAAACGGTCTTCAGTCCTGGCTAAATAATATTTAACTTGGAATTTCAAATACATGCCAATTTTGTCTTTGTCTGAGACATGTGCCCAATCTGGTATGATGCTATGCTCAAATATATTAATCCTGCAACCTGCTAGTCGCCTGGAGATCCGCCGACATTGAACATCGCCAGTGTAGGCGCTCCATGATGGGCAGGGACCGGGATTGATTGAATGTATTCTCATTACCACGGCACCCACTAAAACACTCTAAATGAGCGAAAATAACACATTCAGATTCAGAAAGTGAACTTGATTCCTCCGACGATGAGTGGGTGATTAAATATTGTTTATGCCACATCAGCCATTCCCGGTGAGAAATGTCAAAAAAGATACTGAATGTTAATAATAACAATGAAAACGATGTTCATTTGTAAACATATCCGTCACATATCACATTCAAGGGTTAAAACTGAATTTGAGATATAAATCTATATTTTATTAAACAATTTGTTTTCTTTGAAACCTGGGAGCTTTTAGGACCTCTCCGGTAGACAGTCTACATGCAGAGACTAACGGACCTTCCCTTGAATAACGCCTCATTAAACCTGCACTGCAGTATATCACTAAATCACGTTCAAATCAGTCCAATCCAGCATTCAATTGTGTTTTCAACACTCTCTATGAAAACCTGTTTCCTAAACTGCCAAGCCTGGTTCCACAACATGGAATCAGAATTCAACCACACATATCTGAAGCTAAAATTGATCTCAATACCATAGCACCTTACCGACTACTGTCTTCGCCACCCTGGCAGATGGTAAAACCACAGGTCGATTTTACTCTCACTAAACTCAAAAAGTCCGAAACAAATCCTTTGGTGTTCCAGCAGGAATTCAACCAGTTACGTTCCAGGTATGACACCCATAGATCCATTTTCACAGACGGATCCAAGGATGAGGGCCAAGTTGCCAGTGCTTACAGTCCTTGGATCCAAGACTGTCTCCTCTAGGATACCTGACAACAGTTCCATTTTCACTGCCGAGGTCAAAGCTATCTTCTCAGCTTTGACCTGTATTAAACAGCAGAATCATTCCAAAAACTTCATCGTTTTAACAGATTCATTATCTTGCCTTCAAGCACTTCAAAATGTTACTTCAAGTAATCCAGTCATTCTAGACATTTTAGAACTCTACAACGACCTCTCTACTGGCCAATGTGACATCGTTCTCTGCTGATTGCCGGATCACATCGGCATAACACAAAAGCCGATGCTGCAGCAAAAGCAGCTCTTGACAAGCCCTTATCTCCACTGCTGATGCCGTACAGTGATTTCAAACCCACTATCAAAAGCTATACTCGGGACCTCATGCGAAAAAGGTGGGACACTCTAGTAGGAAGAAATAAATTGTATGAATTAAAGCCAACAATTGGTTATACCTACTTGGGTTGTCAGTGAAGACGTGATGAGGTAATTTTACCACGATGTCGTATTAGTCACAGTCGGTTTACTCATGACTATCTGCTTAAAACGGATGGGGATGGACCCCCCATGTGTGTCTCTTGCGATAAGGTTTTCACCATCAAGTATATTCTGCTTGACTGTGTGGACTTATCGTCTGCAAGGGACTCACATTTTGAAGCAACAAATCTGTGAAAGATCTGTTCTCCCGCGTGAGCGCTCATCTGTTAGAGAACTACCTGAGGGAAGTTGATCTGTATCATAAATTATAATTGTGTAATGTGACTAACAAATTGCCTGCCTTTAAATTTAGTGCTATGACTTTTTCGGCTTTTAAATGACAATGTAATGAATATATGTATTTGAAATAAAACTCATTCCTATCATGTACTTACAATGTTTATTAAAGCAGATTTGTTCTCGTCACTATACGGCTGGAATAATGCCGATGTGACGTAAAGCCCAACTCAACTCAACTCAACTGTTCCCCAGTTGATAGACCTAGAAAATTTGGTCAGTTGTTCTCTGTGATAACGGGTTGAAGTTTTAGTGATGTTCGTCGTCACTTTTAGTAGATATTTATCTTCATTTACATAGGGAACATATTTTTTTCTTCTTTAGTAGCAGCAGTATTGCTAATGCGGCTTAACCCATTTATGGATAGAGTCTTAGATTATTATCAAATTCTGTGAGCTGGTTTTGGGGTGCAAGCAATGAAAGGAATGAGGTGTCATTTTACCAGTAAATAGTTTTTTCCATACTTTTTTACACTGCAATAGTGCTTCCTAAAAATGGGACGATATGCTGATGAGTGAACTTAAATTAGGTAATTCATTAGGCTTAGGTGGGGAGATCAACCTCTTAAATCTTAAAATTGACTCTTTTCATTTGAAAGCCTTCATGGAATATAACCAAACTGGCTTTTTGTATGAAACTATGTGTATTAACAAATTGAAACCTGAACATTTCATGGGCAATTCTTGATGCCATAAAATGCTTTCTGATGAACTAACATCATGATGTTTAGTTCGTCAGAAAACATTTTATGGGATCAAGAATTGCCCATGAAATGTTCAGGTTTCAATCTGTGAATACACATAGTTTCATACAAACACCAGTTTGGTATACTCCAACACGTAGATCAGAAATTATTGGACGTGCCAGGTTTATTGCTTATTAAGGTTCGTATAAACAGACAAGTAACAGAGAGGTGATTGACAAATTGCGACACCATCAATTTAGGGACAGTAAGGTACTACTTACGCCCCTTGAAACAATTGGAAGTCCTTTTGTATTCTTTCAGTGGTGAATTTTTGATGATCAAGTCCATCCTGGAACGTTTGCGGTTCTGTGTCCCTCAGGGATTCCAGTTGTGAAATCACTTGGTTGGTCTGTGTCTCAATTTTCCTGTATATTTCATCTGATGAATCCCCCTATATATAGAATTTCAGTTTAGTGTGATGTTCTCCAGAACTCTCCAATTTTACCACCAATCGCTAGTAATTGTTGATTGTAGACATCATGGCGCCCGTTACTTATTACTGCTGCCACTTATATGAACCATTATGCTGTTTGTTGTTACTGTAAACCTAAATGGGTATTTCAAACAATTTCTTTATGGATAATTATTGATCGTGTGTCATTTTCTGGAGAATTTCTGAGTTAGTTTCTGGGCAGTGCCTTTTAGTTTGGGCATAACCTCATGAGAATATATACATTCATCAGTTGAATACCTTGGGTGAATGACTCAGTGAAAGAGACAGTGAGCTTGTACGTACCACTTTATCAAGGAGATCTTTAACCTGATCAAACGGTGACGGTGTCCTCTTCTTTCTCCTGTGTTTTTTTAACCCAGATGACAAAATGCTCTTTACTGTAGAAATGACGTGTGTAATCTCGCTTCCTGCTGACATCCAGGATGAACTTTGCCCTGCAACAATGTATCATCAGATAAGGACAAACTGTATGGATGAACAACTTCTATATTCGGATGACGCGACGTTTCGATACAGATTCTTGTATCGTTGTCAAGCAAGTATGAGTCAGTTTAAAAACACGGTGAAGACATATATATATATAGAGAGAGAGAATCTCACCCTCGTGTCTACTGATATCAATTATATCAACACTCGTTGATAAAGGTAAAAATATCCTCGGCAAGCCTCGGATATTTATAACTTTATCAACTCGTGTTGATATAATTGATATCAGTAGATACGAGGGTGAGATTCTATTTATCATCAAAAATTATTCTTCATTAGTTTTCAATGGCAAATGTACATCTCTTAACACCGTACTACCATTAGACTTGTATTGCAGCGATGTCATAGCGTTGTGATGTCATCAAGTTGATGACGTCATAGCATGGTCAGGGCATTGTACAAAATCTACTGTCAAAACGATATCTCTTAGGAGATATCATATGATCTCACACAAGCGATATCTCCTGTGGAACTCAGTTTTGGATGATAAATATATACACACACAGTAAATAATTAACAAGAAGTTAATTGGGAAGTACATTAACAATGTGATGACAAGGGATTGATTTCATTGTCGGTGTTGTTTGATGTGGATGGCTTCAGTTCATTTCCGTTTGGTAAAGTCAAGTTGGTTGGTTGCCAGTATTGTGTATTCTGTCCAGTTGATTTGGTGGCTGGGGTTGGTCTGAATGTGTTCTGATTTAGCTGATTTGTTGTGGGATTTGTTTGTTGACACCTGTTGCTCTTTCACTCTGGTGTTGATTGGCCTGGATGTGTCGCCAATATATATGATGGTCCACAGTTGCAGTCAATGTTGTAAACCACACCCTTGGGATTGGATTTTCCGTTGTTGGGGTGGTCACGCCCGTTGGCCTGTAGATGGTTGTTTAGAGTTTGTGAAGTGGAGAACGTCGAGTCTATATCGGCTTGTTGCTTCAGGAGTTTGATGATCTGGTGGGGGGTCTTGTAAATATAGGGGATGGAGATTTGTATCGGTGCTGGCTCTGGTATTTTGTACCTTAGTTGATGGTGAAAGGGTTAAAATTGAGTGAGTGAGTTTAGTTTTACGCCGCACTCAGCAATATTCCAGCGGTCTGTAAATAATCGAGTCTGGACCAGAAAATCCAGTGATCAACAGCATGAGCATCGATCTGCGCAATTGGGAACCGATGACATGTGTCAACCAAGTCAGCGAGCCTGACCACCCGATCCCGTTAGTCGCCTTTTACGCCAAGCATAGTCGCCTTTTATGGCAAGCACATGGGTTGCTGAAGATCTATTCTACCCCGGCATCTTCACGGGTTAAAACAATTGTCCTGCTGACTAATTGGGGTGGATAATCATTGAGGTGAATGAACGCTTCTTTGAAATGGTTTATTTCCTCTTGATGATCAGTAGAGCAGATGTTCTTGGCTCTCATGGTGAGTGTTGATATTATACCAGACTTCACCTGTGGTGGATTGTTGGACTGGTAGTGCACATGTAGCAGGATATGATGTCAATTGAGACATATCAGATTTTATTGTTATCAGGTGAAGGTGTTTTATGTAATTATATAATTATGCAAATAAAAAGTATAAACTTCTAAACTCCAAAAATATGTTTAAAGATTTCATTGATGAAGGGTTATTTAATAAACATAGTGGTTGTTTAAAATCAGATTTACAAAACTGATAAAAGGTTTTGTTGAGGGTTTGTTAGTAAAATTCTATTTGGTTGAGGTGCATCTGAATTGTGCCCCTTTGTGGAATATTTACATCACTAAGGAAGTGAGGTGGTTCATTCTGGCCTCAATTTCATATTGTGTGTAATGTGACCAGAGATTAAGTCTCTGATTGGGTACAAGTTTTTTAGGCATATTAAATACCCTGAGTGTCCAAGCACATGGTACTTAGTATCCAGCATTGCACAGCACAGCACAGCAGCACCGTTACTTGCCACAGAAGGTTAGTTTAATTAATACTTGTTTTGTTTAATACATTAAAGTTAGAGGTTGTTATTTATATTATGCTTGAGTAAAACTTTTAAAATACTACAAATAAATTATTAGCAAATTATTTCTAGCATAACATGTAACTGTAGTGTATGCACTTGGCAATTGTGTGACATTGGCAATTGTGTGACATTGGCAAATGTTGTTTGCAGGTGCCAAAAAGGGGTAGAATTGTAAACTCCATTCCGTTCCATAGATGGGTAAGGTGTATTTTCCTCAGTACATTGTGTGACTGTTTTGAATGTTGTGTGCGTGTGTATTTGTGTAACATGACTATTTTAATTTAATTAATGCAACCAATAAAATGTTACCGTATTTGTTATATAGAATATTCTCATAGAATGATTGTTTTGCTGTCCATTGGATTCTTTGGCAAATGTTTCAGGGTGATGTTTTGTGGACTGACTACCCTACGGAAATAAAATGTCCTCCCCTATACCAGCGGCTTTGTTATTTTGAAGAGCTGGTCACATTTGGAGCCCTCAGTGAGGATCCCAATCTCCAGGAGTCGTCCACAGAGGGATTTGGGAAGTTGGCCATGTGGTAGGACTGATCTCAAGTTGTGCTTCACATTGTTTGTGATATTGAGATGCTGTGTGTTTCTTGATGCTGTGTGTTGTATTGGACACTGCTGACTAATTACTACGCAGTGATAGAGACTGGATACTAAGGTTTTATTTTGAAACCCGATTATGATTAGGTTGATTGGTGATATTGTGATTAGGGTGATTTGTGATATTTTGAATGTACTTTAAATGTATTGTGAATCCAATTTTCTTTTTATCATGGAATGAATTTTGAGATGTGATATTGTTATCTGTGATTAGGGTGAGGACATAGGTTGCAACATATTCTTAATCATGTTTTGTTGTGTGAATGTAGTAAAGTGATTGATTGGATTGTCTGTGTGTCTTGTGGTTGTTAGTGTCAGTGGGTTCTAAGATACCTTAGTAACTAAATATACTGAAGCTCAGCTGAACTATATTAAGATTTACAACTATATAATTCAGCCAATTTAAATTTCATTTGAGCACTACACCCTGCACAGCTAAGACCACTTTAGTGATTGTTTACTTTTTTACGTTTGTGGGGTCCGATGTGTTCTATTTATTTTGTACTGTGGCATAATGGTAACCTACCTTCCTAGTTAGTCAAATGGGTTTCTAGGTCATGTCAGATTCTGATTCTGAATTAGATGTCACTTAATGAACAGGATCCTGAGCAGGTAGAAGTAGACCCAGAGGTTGTTAGTTTGGGTAATACATTGAAACAACTAGGCATATGTCCAGCAATTATAGAAAAGCCTGATGACATAAGCACATGGATGGTGAACAGTCTAAAGGCTGAGGGTAAGTGGCCCGAGGTAAAACTTGAAGATGATGCCCAGAATCAGCCATCAACAGGTAAGCAAAGCACCACTGTTAGTCAGATTCCCAGGCTGTCCATTTTCTATGGAGAACTAGGTTAGGGGGAAGCAAGTTATGATCTCTGGCGTTATGAAACAGATTGTTTGATGAAGGAAAATGCTTACCCGCATCATGTAATCTCCCAAGCCATCAGACGTTCACTTAAAGGCGAAGCAGGTCGTGTGGCTATAAGGCTAGGTCCTGAAGCTGACATTCAATCTATCTTGCATAAACTACAGAGTGTATATGGCATTTGCGAGGAACGCGAGTCTCTGATAGCTTGTTCTTACAGTGATAAACAGGAAACTACTGAAACAGTGACTGCATGGGGATGTAGATTGGAAGATCTTTATGCTAAAGCTACTCGCCATTCTCAAACTTCACCTGTTGACACTAATAATGACCTTAGAAGTGTTTTCTGGCAAGGCTTGTTACCTACACTGAAGGATTTGTCTGCTCACAAATACGATTCCATTAAGGATTTTGATGAGTTGAGGGTTGCTGTCCAAAGAATTGAGTTTGACTTTGATCACAGAAAGGCTAGGTCAGATGTCCGCAAGAAACCAACTCCTGTTAAGGTAACACAGGTTAATGATTCTTCAGATATATGCAGGAACTTAAGACCATGGTGCAGTGTTTGTCAACTGAATTAGGATCATTAAAGCAACAGGTTACCCAGCATCATCAATCCTCCCATCCACATGGTGGTAATGCATCAACAGAATCTATAAATACCTAATAGCGGAGCCCTGAGGTGGATAGTCCCAAATATCAGAGTTCATCTGGACAAGCAAAGGAACCAGTATGTTGGAGATGTGGTTATCCAGGTCATTTGCAAATAGGATGAAGGGTAATTTTAGATCACTGTCGGTCTTTAAACAGAAGCGGCCCTGAGCGGAGGGGGGAAGCAGGGGCCTCTTCAGTACTAACCCCTCGAAGTCATGGTCGTCACAACCAGAAGGATTAGTTGGTGAAGCCAATAAGGTAGATGTCATACTTGCAGGGTTATCTTTTAAGGCATTGTTAGACACGGGATCCACTGTTTCAACAATTAGTGAAGAATTTTATAGGAAGAACTTAGAACATCTTCCTATTCATCAATTGATAAAGTACTGGACATAGAATGTGCTGATGGGAATCCACTTCCATACTTAGGATTTATCATAGCAGATTTTGAGGCTAAAGGTTTGGCAAGAGGTGATAAGTTACCATGTATGTTGTTGGTAGTTCCATCCAGTAGATATAATCATTCAGTTCGAGTTTTGTTTGGGACAAATGTGTTGTCAACTCTGTTGGAAAGTTGTCGGGATATGCATGTACCAAGATTTCTACAAAAAGCAAACTTGCATACACCTTGGTATTTGTCCTTCCATAGCATGGTTCTGGCTGAGAAGCAATTGGCTAGGTATAGTTACCGTTTAGGACTTATGAAAAATGCTGAGTCTCGTAACATTGTTATTCCAGCTAACTCCCAGGTAGTGATACAGGGTTATGTTGACAAAGGTTTGTGTTATCCTCAAGTTACAGCCATGACACAACCATGTGAGAA